AGGATCCAGGCCCAAAGAGAAGTGCCAGGAATTCCCACTGGTTCATCTTCCTGCAGTGCACATCCCAGAACTGTTGGTACATCAGTCACAAAGGCTTCGTCGGGCTGCCAGGCGAGATGGTGCCAGGCTCCAGCGCCTGTCTGGCCGCGGTCATTGCTGGCTGTCCCCGAGGGAGATTGCAGGGCTGGCGCTCTGTGGGGCCTGGAGCTGTAGATGCTCTTTCCCCCGATGGTGCTGGACTTTCATTTACCTCTGGGCACAGTGCAGGGATCGCATCAAATCTCCCATCGTCCTTCCAGCCCCGGCCCTGGCGGCCAGCGTGTCCCCTCCGCCGGCGGGGGGGACGCTGGAGTCAGCCCTCTGAGCTGGGAGAATTAACGCAAACAAATGAAACGCCAGCCAATCCCATGAAGTGTGGAAATAGGAGAGAGGGACAGCAGCAGCATGCAAGTCTCTGGGCCCTGAGCCGGCAGGAGGACAAGGTGACCTGAGTGCCATGTGGCAGGGAGAGCGTTCAGCCTGCAGGCTGGGCCCCCACGCTGGGCCTGTCACGAGACACTATCCCCTGGCACCTTCCCCTCCCCACACAGCGCCCCCCCATTCCTCCCCTCCCCCGTGCCATTCTCCCTCCCCACACAGTGCCCCCCCATTCCTCCCCTCCCCTGTGCCATTCTCCCTCCCCACACAGCGCCCCCCCTTCCTCCCCATTCCTACCCCTGTGCCTCTCCCCCTCCCCACACAGCACCCCCCGTGTCCCCCCATTCCTACACCCGTGCCTCCCCCGTGCCATTCCCCTTCCCCACACAGCACCCCCTGTGCCATGCCTCCCCTCCATTCCTCCCCCGTGCCTACCCCCATGCTTCCCCTCCCCACACAGTGCCCCCCTTTCTTCCCCCTGTGCCTTCCTCCATGCCATTCCCACTCCCCACACAGCACTCCCCATGCCATGCCCTTCTGTGCCTCCTCGCCATGCCATGCCTCCTCCCCAGAACCCCCCATGCCTCCCATTCCTACCCACATGCCTCCCCTGTGCCATTCCCCCTCCCCACGCAGAGCAAAGGGCCAGGGTGCATAGGTGGCTGACACTCTGTCTCCTGGCAACTAATGGTCGGGGCCCTTCCCCCCTGCAAGGGGATAGCTAAAGGTGTTGGAGAACAAAGGAATCAGGTGACCCCCTGGCCCGGGAAAGGGACAAAGCCCAGAGGAGGAGGGGCTGGAGAGTTTTAGTTTGGGGTTGGCTGGGGACGGGGAGTGAGGTGCAGACATGGGTGTCTGTCTCACTGCCCCCCAGAATGGACCCGGCTGAGGGGTCCTGTTCTCTGTTCCTACAAGCTCTGTTTTAGACCGTGTTCCTGTCATCTAATAAACTTCTGTTTTACTGGCTGGCCAAGAGTCACGTCTGACTGCAAAGTGGGGATGCAGGACCCTCTGGCTTCCCCAGGACCCCGCCTGGGCGGACTCGCTGTGGGAAGCGCACGGAGAGGCATACGCTGAATGCTCCAAGGTCAATCCCAGGAAGATGAAGCCGTGTGAGCTTCTTGCCCTGGAGACAGTCTGCTCACAGAGAGGAGACTTCCCCAGAGTCCTGCCTGGCTTCGTAGGGAGCAGTTCCAGAGCATCGCCCAGGGACTCCGTAACACCCTGTGACTGCTAACAACTGCCCAGGCCAGAGACTCGGCAATTCCCTGCTCCACAGGGCCTCGCGTGTGTCTGCCCATTCCCGCCGGGGGTATTGTGCAGGCACTGGTCCACGTCCCGTGCAGCAGCACATGGAGAGCTCTGGGTGTGCGTCACTGGTGAGCATGTGCCAGTGGGGGGCATGAGACAGTCCTCGAGCATTGGGGGTGTCGGCCATGGGAGCAGGCGCGTGGTTTGGAAGGAGAGCAGCAAACCTGGACATCCAGGAAACTGTTTTCAGGAGCATCACGTGCCATTTGGAGTCCTGCTCCAGCGGAGAGCCGAGTTATCCAGGTCCCCAAGTCCCATGCCCGACTGAAGACAGTATCTTGGCTAAACGATGCAAAAATGATTTAATGGAGGGAGCTAATCAAGGAATTCAGGAGAGACCGTTCACCAAGGGCTGATACAAGATTCAATTAAAATGCAGCCTTTGTGGGCTCACCATTTTAATTTTCCACAAATTAGCTTTAAAAAGGTATGGAAATGAAGATATTAGATTTTTTTAAAGTCCAAAGGAAAAACCCTTTGAGGATTATATTTGCGACTTCCCTTTAAAAAAGCATTTGAGACTCATTTTCTTGTTTTATCTCAGCAGTGGAGATGTTTGCATTTCTAAGGCAGAGTATTTTGGGCTCTCTGAGAGCAGCTCGGGGTGGCTGTTAACCCTTGCTGGCGCAGCATGGCCCTCTGGCGTCTACCCAGCAGCAGCGTCACCAGTGACCCGGCTCCGTGCACCAGACTGCACGACACGGCTAAGTGCAGAGCCGAGGCTCCGGGGTGCCGAGACGGTTAACTTGCAGCAGCTGGCGAAGCAGACCAGTGTGAGTTGGCTGTTAACTCACCTGCTCAGCTCTGCCAGCGCTGACAGACCCCTGAAGGGCCCAGCACACGCCAGGAGTGCTCTGCTCCCGTGGGAACTAGCCTCCTTCTATGGGCTCCCAGGACAGGGCTCACCTCCCTCATCCTCACACAGTTCTACGCTGCTGCCTCCTGCTCTGTCCCTTAATGGCACCTGCCAGGAGCTGCACAGCACAGCCACGTGGCAAAGCCCAGACGTGGTGAGTGGCTGAGCGTGGCGCTGGGTGAGGGCAGGTCCTGGGACACCATCTGTGCGGTCTCCTGCATGTGATCTCCGGCAGCCTCTGGCATGGTACACAGCTGGGGCCTGCAGTGCTGGGCTGGGTGCCCTGCCCTGTCGCCTATTAACGTTATCTGTGTTCTGGTCCATTCTGCTGAACTCTGCACTGACACCAGCGCCACGTGGCCTTGTCCCAGCCTGGCCAAGTGAGGGACAGGTGATGGGTGCAGGACGAGATGGCAGGATAAGCCAGGCCAGCGGCTGTGGCTTCTCGTGAGCACAGGAAGCTGGTGACGGTATCTCCTGGGACTGCCCCTGCCCTCAGACGGAGGGAGTGAGCTGCGGGGGGGAATAGTGTGCTGTGTTAACCACTGCTTGTCTCCTAGGCGCCTGGCTCCCGGCTCAGGGTCTCCAGGGCGGGGGCAATTTTGTGTGTGGCAAAGGCAGGTCCCAGGGAGGGGCTCGTACCTTCCAGCTGTGCTTGATTTGCTGACAGGTTTTCCCAGGACCCTTAGCTGCATCCTGAACTGTCTCCTTCTGGCTGGGGCCAGCGCCCGTCTCCCTCACACCTGCTCTGTTCTCCAATTCTCTGCCCTTCCCTCTTTTCTGTTTGCCACTTTCTCCCCCTGTCTGCTGCTCCATCGGTTCCATGTGTCTATTTCTCTATCCCACCCCCACCCCCCCCAGCACTGCTGAAGCTGGAGGTCGTTCTCGCTCCTGGTCCTTCCCGCACTTGCTCGCTGCAGCATGATCTGGTTCCCATTTGACCTTCATGCGCACATGCTGCTCCCCAGGAAGTGCCTCCCGCCTGCCCCCTTCCCTCCCTGCCTCGTGCTCGCTCTGATTTTCAGTGGAACTTCATTGATCACTGTCTCTTTATAAAGGTTCAGTATCTCCAGCTCCGGTCACCCGGCTGCCTGTGCAAACGGCTCCTCTCACCTCGCACTCAGAGCCACGCTGCTGCAGCGTCCGTGGCTGCCGGCCCCTCGATCTTCCTCTCAGTGCCTCGTCTTCCATTCCTCACTTCACCCTGCTCCTCCCGTGGGCAGGGTCTGAGGCGCGGGGAGGGCTGGGGAGATCTGGCACTGTGTCACAGGCCACCCGGAGCAGGGTCCCAAGCCAGGTGCTCCCATTACCCGGCCAGGCCCAGTGGGTACCATTGCACCTGCTGCGACCGTGCAAAGGCCTCAGGCAGGAGCCACGGTGAATGCTCCAGCGGCGCTTCGGTCCCTGTTGGCAGCACCGTTCTATTGGACTGAGGTGTGACTGAGGGCCCGATCATGACCCCATTGAAGTCTCTGGGTTCATTGTCACTGACACCAGCAGGGTCAGGACAGGGCTCTGAGCTGGGAGGCTGCTGCTGGTCAGGTACTGCGCCCCTAGGTATGACCTCAGTGCCCCTGGAGCGAGGTGCCAGCTCTGCTCTGTGCTGGGAGTGGGAAAGGCAGGGCTGTGCGGGTCCCAGCATGCACAATCGCCCAGCGTGGCATGTGCAGGGTTAATGCTGGGGCTGCACAGGGCTGTTTGTCACTCGGGAGCCTGCCCCTGGTCCCTGCCCCGTGCGGGAAGAGCTGGTGCGGCAGCGCAGGAATTGCTGTGCAATGTGCACGGTGCGGGCCGGCCCAGGCAGCCAGAGGGCAGGAGGCTCTGGAGCGACGGAACAGCCCGCGGTTCCGAGCGGCGAGCTGCAGCGAGAGATTTGCTTTGCTGGAAATGGGATTGTTTCTTGCTGTGATTGACTGAGAGGGATCTGACGGCCCCTGCTACATGGGGCGCCGTGTGGCTGGCATTCAACTGCGCAAGGAACAAATGGCTTCCTGTCGCAAGGATGCACAAAACCTTCCCGGGGCCCAGCTGGGGTCCTCCCCAGGCCCTATTGTCATGCAAATGCTCCTGGGGCTTAGGATGGGGGAGGGGGATCATTTCAGATTTCTGCCCTTGCTCTAATTTGATTTTGAAGTGGCTGAGGCAGAAATGCTGCCACTCCAGCTGGCCCCCTCCCCGCCCCGCCCTCACTCTAAATGGATCTCAGCGCAGAATTAATTTGTCAGATTGACACTGATCGTTTATTACAGAGGAGAGTGGAGTCCATTCATTTGAATAGAAAACATTCCATCTTATCTCCTGCCTTTTCATGCCTCCGCTCTCACTCCTTAACCTTGGACAATAAGACTCATAATTTCCTCCCTGACACTGGGCTGCTCTAGATAAGACACTTGGTTTTTAATCTTTTTCTCTATAGAATTTTAAGCCTGTTCCCGAAGGACACCTGCTGCCTGCCCACAACAGCATAACAGCCGCCTTGCCCAGCAATCACGGGCCGGCCCCTGCCCGCTCCGTGGGCCCAGAGAACACCCAGCGCGCCTCCGAGGACTGAAAAGAGCAGGAGGAAGTTGCCTCAGGAAGGCAAAGGTGGCTCCTGGCTGGACCAGGACCGTGGGGCCGTGTGCGATGACGCAGGTACGCTGGGGAGACGCAGGTCCTGTCAGATGCTCAGGACCGGCTGGGTCACTCTTCCAGGTGGAGCTTGGAGCACAAAGCCACGGGCACTGCCAGCCCCGCCAGTGCCAAGCTTCGCTGGGACCTGCCCACTGAATTCTCCAACACACAGTGATCTCCGCACTTGTCCATCGCCCCCTCCACAGAGCCACTCACCCCCTCCATGCCCCCTCCATGCCCCTCCACAGAGCCACGCGCCCCCTCCATGCCCCCTCCACAGAGCCACTCGCCTCCTCCACAGAGCCAC